TATATATATATATTTTTTTTTTTTACAAGAATGCAATATTCATTACATTTTCAACATTCCAAGACAAATTGGTGCAATTTAATGATTAATTTGTTTTAAGTATTTATTGTTTCACAATAAATCAGAACATTAAACTTTTGGTTTATATAATTATTAATTGATTAATCATTTAATTCAGAGTCCTTCAGCACATTGATTTGTTACCTTAGCTTTTTTTCACCCGGCTGCACAGTTTTTTGGTGATAAAACTAGGACTTTGCATATTCAAATCCGATGGAGTGCTCTGCAGTGATATAGTGCAATAGATGGTTTTTCCAGGGACAAACAGGCTCAGATCTTGTTTCTTGTCGTCATATGTGGTGTTGTTAAAAAACAGCCCTGAGGTTCACAGGCTTTCGGTGTGAATGCGTCACATACCTGAGCTTTATATGATCACCTGTGTTTGTGTTCATGTATACAACGGCCCTAAAGATACTTAAGGCTTATACTTATACTTATGTAGAAGTGTGTGAATGCATTGGATATAGACCAAGTATCAATTTATTCATGATATGTGTGATTTATTATATATTTATCAGTCATTTAACACTGTGATTGTAGTCTAGTTTTGCTTTAGGACTCCAGAAGTGGCCTTAAAGGAACAGTAACCCAAAAATGAAAATTATCATCATTTACTCACCCTCCACATGTTCTGAACCAGTATGAGTTTCTTTCTTCTGTTGAACACAAAAGAAGATATTTTGAAGAATGTTGTCAACCAAACAGTCGACGGTAGCCATTGACTTCCATAGTATTTTTATTTTTTTTCAATTCAAAATATAATCTTTTGTGTTCAACGGAAGAAAGAAAGTTTTGGGTGAACTGTCCCTTTAAGACTGAATGTTGAAATGGATTGATGTTACAATGTTGGGTGGAAAGTGCCTGTGGCTGGGATTTGCATGAATATAGCATATATCATTTCATTGTTGTCACCTCTGCCAGATGTCTTTATTCTGTCTTGGAGAAACACACTGTGTAAGTCACATGACAGGACTGTAACACACTGTTAAAGACTGACAGTCGAGTTTCACCAGCACAAATCCACTGGCTTTAAATGTGAGTTTGTGGTCAAATGCTGACAGAAGTTTAGCTGAGTGTCTGGATGTAAAACGCTGACTGATGCTGCCGTATGCGTAAGGTGAGATTGGGTCAGGATGGAGGTGTTTTTCTTTTTTTTTTTGGCAAAATAGAATACTTTTATTCAACAAGGATGCATTACATTGAAAATTGACAGTATAATGTTACAAAAGATTCTATTTCAAATAGAGCCCGACCGATATGGGTTTTTTGGGGCCGATACCGATACCGATACCGATATTAGGGAGTAAAAAAAAG